TTTTTTTTTTTTTTTTTTTTTTTTTATTAATAACACACATAACTACAAAACACTACAAAAGAGAAAGATATATACAAACACTCGTGAAGGGTGTCAGAACTACAGTTTACAAGCTAGGGGGGTTACAAAATGATAAAAATTGAGTAATACATATATAAAAAACATTAAATGAAAAGAATAAACATAAGAAACAAAAAGGAGCAAAACAATATGAGAAACTTAAAACAACAAGTTTTTTGATATCTGTTGTGAAATGGTTCTAGCAGTTTTCCAGTTTTTTAATCTACTTATTGAAGAATAGTACAACTTGAATTCGTTCATAAAACACAGGAAGGAGGGCTGATTGTCCCTCCACTTACTACAATGAATGTGATACTTTGCTATAAGGATGACTATATTTATAGCATCGGAGTAAGCTGAGCTTAAATTATCCATATAAAATAAAATGGCATCAGCATCAAAGGGAGGAATGTTCAGTTTTAGATTAATCCAGTTTGTAATGTCAGTCCAGAAACTTTGTGAGTATTGACATGAAAAAAACAAATGTTCAAGAGATTCATCTTCAGATTTACAGAAGGTACACAAATCCACCTCAAATTTAAATCTTCTGTGCAGAAGCATGGCTACTGGATAGATCTTATTTATTATTTTAAAATGGTTTTCTTTCACTTTAGGAGATATAGGCCATTTGACAAATTTTGAATGAGCAGAAGTCATTATGGTTTTATGATTTATATTGGGAGGTTTCTTGAATGAATCTTTGTTGTAATCATAGTAAATCATTTGTCGCATGCATTCATTGATCATCTTGTTATTACATTTGAGATCAACTAAACTACAGTCATTTAGTTTTAATGTGGGCATGGAAACGGTCACCTTTGAATACATAATGATATTTTTAATTAACTGAGTCAAGGCTAAAGGGATTGCTTTACATACCTTCATAAAATCTTTATGGCAGCAGCTAAGGTTATATTTTCTAACAAAAGATGAGAAATTTAAAAGATCTCCATTACAATCCAAGATGTCTGTTACAAAAATGATGCCTTTTTCATACCAGTCTTTTCTAAATATTGACTTTCTGCCCACTGTGATTGCTCTATTATTCCACAAAGTTGATCCATGAGGTGAGAAATTATGGTGAAATATCATTTTCCAGAACTGAAGAACTTGTTTGTGGAAGTTTGATAGTTTAACTGGAATCTTCGTCACTTCGAAGTCACACCTTGCAAGGAAGTCAATTCCTCCCAGCTGCTTAAAAATGGAGGCAGGGATATGAAACCACATTGAATTTTGTTGTTGTAAAAAGGTTTTTAACCATTTAGTCCTAAATGTACCAACCATTGCTTCAAAGTCTAGTGCATTGATACCACCATGCTCATGTTTTTTAACTAGTTGGGACCTTTTAACATAATGAGTCTTATTTTTCCACAAAAACTGAAAGATAATAGAGTTGGCTTTTCTTATGTTTTGTGGTGATATATACATAGAATGACGTGGATTAACAGACTTGGAAATGCCATCTGCTTTAGTCAACAGGTTCCTTCCAAAAATAGTCAGATCTCTTGTCAACCAACGGCTGAGACTTTGTTTCATACCCACTAAGCGGTTTGAGATGTTCTCATCTTCCCTTCTAACTGCGTTTTTAGATACTAGTACACCCAAATATTTAACTTCATGTACGACTCTGATTGACTGGATGTTTTGATGAATACAGTTATGAATGGGAAGGATCTCACATTTGTTAATGTTAAGTCCAAGACCTGAAGCCTTAGAGAATAGTGAAATTGTATTAAGGGCTCTTTCAACCATTAAATCATTTTTTAAAAACAATGCTGTGTCATCGGCAAATTGGCTAATCTTGTATTCTCTATCAAAATCGTTAATTCCCTTTAACTCAGGATTGCTATTAATTTGAAGGGCTAGTAATTGAGTAGTCAAGATAAACAGTTTTGGGGAGATAGGACAACCCTGACGGATGCCTCGCTGGATCTTAAATCTAGAAGTCCTGGATTTAAAGAGACTGAGCTATAGATATCATTATAAAACATCCTAATTAATCCACAAAATGAATCACCAAAACCCAAAAACCTTAAAGTCTCTAACAAAAAAGCGTGTTCAATTGTGTCGAATGCCTTGTAAAAATCAAGAAACAGGATCACACTATCATTATCAAGGCAGTCACAATAATCCAACATATCAAGGACCAGTCTAATATGATTGTGTATATTTCTGTCTTTAACAAAGGCTGATTGACTTTCCTCAATTATATCTTTAAGTCCACTATTCAGCCGATCAGCATAAACATGAGTTAGTTAGTTCTTAGTTTTCGGGTCGCAGAATTATGACGTCACGGTCAGTTCTATTTTAGATTTTGACAGTATAAAATTTGTAGTTTACTTTTATACACAAGTTTAATTTTTAAAAGACGTTTGCATGCACAAAGACGTTAATAAAAACGTATTGGTGACGTTTTTTAACTTCTCAACAGACGAGAAGTTTTAAGTTATGGTAAATTGATTTTATCTGTAATAGAAGTTATAAACCTACACAAAATACTCATATGTACTATTTCATATTTTCCATTCCTGAAATATATGGAACGATGAAAGTTTTTACTTTCGTGATCGGCTGCTGCTGATCCAACAGATTTAAAATTGTGACATATTGTGTGTTAAACAGTTGATTCTTTCATGACATTTTAATGCGACTTTAGATCAGCGACAAATAAAAAACAGGACTTCTTCTAAACAAGCAACGGGATTTTATTTTCTGAATTCTTTTTCAACATGAAGGCATAAAAAAAATGCTTTTATAAACAACTATTTTCTCACGATCAGTTTTTTTTAACAAAACAAAAACTGGTTTGAAATCTTGTGGGCTGTCTGGAGAGGACAAATCTACTCCACGTCCTCGCCGCCACTTTCAGCCTCTGGTTCTGGGAGGCTGGTTTCAGGTTCTTCTATAGACTCTTGGGGATCCGACGGTTCGGGTTGGGTCTCGTCCATCGATTCCTCGGCTGGTTCTGAACGAGGCGTCGGAGACTCTGTAGGTTTCTCTAAGTCCACCTGAAAAAAACAAAACAATTGAATCTGATTAAAGCTAAATATTCTGCTTTCTTCACCTGGTGTTAAAAGAGCAAATGACTAAATCAACCATCTTGACATTTGTGAGCAGTAAATATCTGACCTGTTGTGAATAACAAACATTAACGAGCTCAGTTTGAAGAAACCGTATGTCAATTTAGAAAAAAATGTCCAACTGAAGTTAGCAGGAGCCGGCTTCCGAAGCTGCCATGTTGGATTTTGGAACAAAGGTTTGGGCGTTAGCGATGTGGGGGTTTAAGCCCCACCTACTTTTCTGCACTCAGTTGTCACATGACCTTTATTTAAAGCGTGAAATAAATTACAGCTGTGTTAGAAATTGAATAATTGAACACAGACAAACAGGTGTAAAGGGGTGGGACTTAAAATTTGACAAGTGCCGCTCCAGCTTCGTCCTCCGGGTCCACATCAGAGGTCGTCCACATATAAAGTCTTCGGGAGGAGCAGAGTCTACGACCGACTGGTCTGCTCAAAAGCAAAATGAATCTCTTTTCAAATGGCTCAGATCTCAAAAATTTCACATCAGTTCCCCGAAAAACTACTTTTGAAACGCTTCTGTTAATTTCACACGACGTGGTTCTTTATGTAAACGTGGCTGTTAGCAGGTGCTAGCTGTAGTATGCCTGTCAGAAAACGCAAATATTTTTCTACCGAAATATTTGTGGCGTTAAAGATGGCAGTTGTTTTTGTTTCTGTGGCTCCTAGAAGCTTCAGTTCACCTGTGAATCATCATCAGGAGCTTCCTCTTGAACCGCCGGTTCAGCCTCTTCCTGCTCCATTGGCTCCTCCTCGTCTTTCGTAACGATCGGTTCCTGGCGTGCCTGTACTTCTGGTTCTTTTGGAGCCATGGCGGGAGCTTTTCCCACAGCCACAACAACTGGAATGGGTTCAACCTGAAACGTCACAGAGAACTACAGAATTACCATAAATCAAACACGAGCTAGGAACGGTCTGAGCAGAACCATCGAGTACCTCTTTCTCCACGATGGGCTCCACGGGCTTTGGCTCGGGTTTCTTATTTGCTTCCAGGACCGCCATGATGGAGGCCGGTATGTGCGCTTGCTGTTAAGGATTAAAAACAGTCGGATTACGAGGACGTTTCTGTAAAAAACACGAGGCTGGGACAGAAACGAGGACCTGCTCTGACCTGGTGGGGGGTGAAGGAGAGAACGTGCTGCAGGAGAGGCGCTCTCATGTCCGGGCTGCGCTCAAAGATGCTCTTCAGCGGCGCCGCTGGCAGCTGGAGCAGCACACTGTAGGACTGAGGCTTCGTCCGCTGGCAGCACTTCACAAAGCCCTCCCACACCTTCGGATACTTCCACACCTGCGGGGGGAAATCTTTTATTTGTAGACTAATACAACTCAGAAATAAAATCAGTTATTTTTGGTATTTTTCACAAAAAGTGGCTAAAAACTGCATCTTTGTGTCAGGATTCTAGTAACATCGTGCCTAAAAATCCAAAGATTTCTTGATGACAAACACTTTGAACACATCTCTGAACGTGGTGTAAAGCAGACCTGTTTGACGATGAGGCGGGACAGGATGTTCATGACGAACCCACCCAGGCGGGGGTACATGGTGAGGGACTGGATGACGGTTCTCATGAGCAGCATGGGAAGAGGATTCTGCTCCATGAGCTGCTGCATCACCACGGCCAGAACCTCAGAGGTGTAGATGTTCTTCTCCGCGAAGCAGAGGTTGGTGGCTGTTGCACAAAAAAAAACAGAAGAAACGTGAAGATGGAGCAGATGTTGTGTCGTTACTGAAGGCGTTTCAAGTATAATAAGAAGCAACAACCTTTTCTGATGCAACGTTTCTTCTTCTCTTTCATCACAGTGTTTTCAGAGGTTTGTCCACTTTTGTCTAAATCTGCTGTTTATCCTAAAATCTGCTCCTTGTAAAGGATTACACAGCAAACACTGACACCTGGTGGCCAGGTGGAGAACCCTGGGGTGAAACGACGCCTCACGAGAATTTAAAGAAAAAGAAAAAGGCTTTGGGACAAACTTCCTGACTGATTAAAATTAGAACGATGCTTCAGCTACAGACGACCTTTAAAAACCCTTTAAAGCCAAGTGACTAAACTCATGTTCATAAAAGATCAAAACTAATTATTTTGTAGAAAGAATATATAAATTTGTTGAGATTTACCAGATATTTTGTTGATCAAAACATCCACACTGAAATTCTAAATTCCCTTTCCTCAATATATTTTATTTACTTGTCAGAATAAACAAAGCTGACTGTAAATATTTGAGATAATTGATTTCTAAAATTTTATCAGACGACATAAAGACAGCCTCAAACCTTAAGATTACAAGAGAAAACAAACAGATAATCTGGATTAAACACACTCAGAAACTTCGTAGCTGTGGTGTGGCCTTTAAGAAACGTCTGAACTCCCAGAACTGACTGAGGAGGACATTAGAGTGAAACTCCTGTGTCCAGAGAGAAAAGCTGCTCGCTGATGAACACGGATATTTACCCCTCCTGCTGCCCTTGGGTCTAAATGGGACTCTTTTGACCCAAGGGCAGCAGGAGGGTTTGGAAGGAACACAGCAGACTCATTCTTCTGAGCTAAACAGCTCAAGAGGTCCTGACCTTACTTCATCAACTTCAAAGTTGAAAAACCACAGATGTTGAATCTTGTTCTGTTTTAAAGAAATGGAGGCTCTTCAACTCAGCACGTAGCTGCAGAGGCTGCAGTCTGGTTCGGGTGCTCAGCTTGTCTGAGTTGCTGCCACAAATGGTTTAAAGCAGAAGAAACACCTAAAGAACTTATTTTTCTACAACAAATCTTGTGACATTTTAATCTCATCACACCTTTTATCCTTATTAGCCGCATTTAATTTCATTTATAAACTTAAAAGGTTAAAACCTAGTTTTCTTTTGTGTATGAGAGGAAACTAGTTAAATAGGAGCAATAAAACGGTATTCAACAATAAAAACTCCTACATTTCTGTATAAACGTGTAACTACAGAAGTTCTGTCCTGATGCATGCTCAATAAGGAGCTATTTATAAGAATGAGCTGAATGCAGCACCTCAGACTGAAGAAGTCTTTCGGATGAAAGACGAAACGTTTTTTTTTTTTTGAATGTCCAGAGGACCAGATTTAACTTTTTTGGATACAGAAGTTCTGGTTTAGCTCAGCAGAAAAAGACTCAAAACCTCTGAGCTCATTGTTTCTGCGCCTGAACCCGTTGCACAGACCGAACCCCAGAACCGACCTTTAATGATGGACTTCATGTCACATTTGTTCGAGTCGATGTTGTGCAGCGCGATGAGCAGATCTCCCGGAGTCAGAGGAGACACCGATGAACTTCCCTCACCTGCAACAACAGCAAACATCGTCTCAGTTACTCGTCATCCACAGAAGAGGCGGTGCGACACGGTGGGACGGGTCGTACTGTGCTGAGTTCCCAGCAGGCGGTTGAACACCTCCTTCACAACGACTGGATTCAGTTTGATCAGTTTGGGCAGAGCCAGGATGACTTCGGTCTTTTCCAACCCGTTTATGACGGGGATCAGGAACCGGACGTCCGGAACTCGTTTGTGGTACAGGTCTCGGACTCTTTCCACCAGCTCAGGAGACGGAGGCACTGGAGGGACAAAAAGAGTTTTTATTTTATTTCAGCCTCCAGTACGGATACAAAGATTCACCTTTTTGTTTTACCTTTATCTGTTAAGATGTGCAGGCAGCGAGTTACCAGCGTCTCCGCTCCTTTAGGACAGTTTTCAACCAGGAGGAGCAGCTCCGGAGAGTTCATTCCCATCCCACGGATCTACAAGGAACGTTCAATAAACGTTAGAAACAGGAAAATGCACGCTTCATTTGTAGCTTTAGTTTCTAATTTACAAAGAGCAGCAGCTCAGACTCTGTCCAAAGTTAATTTGACTGTTTTTTTACACGTAAAATCTTATTTTTTTTTACATTTTTCCTTGGAACGCCAAGTTTTTTCCTGAAACTATGCAGAGGAAATCGTTGAGTAGATCAAAGAATATCTCACGGGCTGCTCTATGGCACGGAGGACGCTGCGTTTGATGTCGGCGATGGCCTCGGTGTAAACGGACGCCAGTTCGTGGACGAGCCGGTGGTTCAGCGGGAGTAGAGACAAGTAGAGGAAGAGACACTGTCTCACCGTTTCTTCGGTCCAGGGAGCGGCCACCTCTGTGCACGAAAACGCACCAACAGGAGGAGTTTAGAGATTTAACGGTGAGAAAATCAGCCACAAAAACACTTGAAGATAGTTTCACCAGTTGTGCTTTGTCTGTAGTTTATTTACGTTAATGAGCTCATTTTGTGACAAACAATAAAGTTATTTAATTCAAAGTGGTGATCGTAGGCTTCGTTTGGACCCAAATCAGTTTCCCGCCAAAGTCTCTGAGGAGCAAGATTCACGAAAATGTTTGAGGAAATCCTTGAAACCGATTAAAAACAAAGTTCCTCGAGCAAAGAGCAAAACCTCATTAAACCGTTCAAAGAACCAGGGAGCCGGTCTGAGCTGGACCTCCCTGAACCCCCATCAGCAGCTGACAGAACCACTAAGGTCCCCAACAGTCAACGTTGGACAAGACCGTCCTGTTCGACACCTTGAGACGTGTTTACAGGAAGAACGGGACGAAATAACACCTGGAACTCTTCATCATGTGGTCTCCTCATCGTCAGAAACAGTTCAAAGTGTGTGTGTGTGTGTGTGTGTGTGGGGTGGGGGGGAGTTATGGAACACGTTCTAGCCTGAAATGCAGGAATGTCCCTTTAATAACAAAATACACAAAACATTAAACATTTTGAGTCAATATTGCCTAAACTAATGTAAACGTCTAATTATTAACAAGAATAAACATTTTGTAATTTGTGGCCATTTTAAAGCAGCAGAGAGAACCTGTGTCCATGTCGGCGCCAAACAGCACAGATGGCGGGTTGGGATGGACCAGAAGCTGCAGGTAGTTCAGGGCGAACTTCTCGATGTAGTCCCTGAGCTGGTCCTTCTCATACATGCGTTTCAGGAAGGACAGCGCCGTGGAGCGCACCTGAAACACACACACCTGTTTCAGAACGAGCAGAACGAGCGCAGCTCTTCGGGGTCGCCCATCAGGAGCATCACCTTCTCCTTCTCGTGCGAGCTGAGGTCCAGAAGAACGTGCAGGTACTGGAACTGTCTGGACGGGCGTTTGATGATCAGCTCCTTCAGCGTGGTCATGCCCAGGTAAACTCGAGACTGAAACAGAGTCAGACGGGCTGAGCGGGACCGGTCTGGATTAGAACCGGAGGCGTCGTGCCTTTCGTTACCTCGTCCTCGCAGTAACGTCGGATCACCTCCAGCGCCGATTCTGTGATGATGGGCGCCTCCAGGACCAGCTTTGTGAAGAGTCTGAAAGAGACGACGCAGTGTAAATCCTCCCGCTCCGACAGAACCAGCAGACCGGACCGACAGACTCACCCGTCCTTCTGCTCGGGTTTCTCCTGCAGGCCCGACAGCAGCCTGTAGAGGCAGTGGTCGTAGCTCTCCAGCAGCCCCGACGGCATCTGGCTCAGGTACGTGTTGTACTCCTGGTAGAGGAGCGCGAACGCCAGGTCGCTCCTCGTTCTCATGTCGTCCAGAATGAACTCCAGGACGTCCTCTTTCATCATCCCTTCGAACTGCGTCACGAGCCGAGAGAGGAGCTTCACCCGGACCTGAGGAACAAAACCCACCAGGTTATGGTTTGAGCAAAGATCGATCAGAATCTCGTGTTTCCTGCGGCACTTCCTGCAGGAATATCGTAATATTTCTGAAAACAGACGTCTGCATGACTAGTCGTTAGCTCGTCAATCCAGTCAGAGCCAAACAGTTTCTCCAAACTGGGGTCGTTCGAAGAGCCATCTACGACAGGTAAGATGTTAATTCTTCAGAACCTTTAATGAGGATAAACAGAGAAGTATAATGCTGAAGACTCACGTGAGACATCCCGCTTTGTGCAATCGTCTTTTCTGAGTGCAGAATCCGCTGCACAGACTTGGAGGTCAACATCTGGATCTGCGAGTCCGAAAAAGGCTGGACGATGTCCATCAACCGGAACACCTTTTTCCTCCCGCCTGGCACCGTCATCCTGTAAACAAGAGTACAGCATACGACGCATTATACGCCCGTCGACAAATGACTACACAGCAAAACAGCAACGGCCCGAAGAAACACATTTTATCACTTTTGACCTTTTTTTATACAGGTTACTCCTATTGAGCCTCGGGAACTCATTTACAAGAAAGACCTGCATCTTTAACAAAGAGTGGTGACAACAGTGGATAACAACCTCAACCATAGACAATCATAAAAGATGCGTACAAATTATTATTATTTTTTAACAAGTTAAAATACAATAACAACCAAAAGGACAATCAAAAGGAAAAGTAGCAACAACAAAAAAAACAAAACGCTAGATTAAGTGTAGAATATTAAAAAATTGTTCTTGCTTTTATTATCCTATTTAATAATAGGATATCCTATCCTATTATTTATCCTATTACATAACATTTGACCTTGATTTGTGACCTTGACCTTGGAATGATGTAAACATTACGAGACACTCCAGCTGGTGTAAGGGTTGAATGGACTAGTCGATTCTAGGACATTTCGTGAGTTTTTAAATTTCACGTCGACTAGTCGCAGTCTGTGATTGTGTCACATGATCAGCGCCGGGTCGCTGGCTACAAAACGGATTCTTCCAAGCAGAACGAAGGAGAGAAGCAGGCGAAGTCTTCCCATACAGGTTCATCAACAGTGTGGAAGTATTTCACTAAAGATGATGTGTTTAGTTTTATTTTATTTAATCCACTAAATAATAATAATTTTAAAAAACGGGTGCACTCCACAAGAGAATCCACCACCGCTGCAGTGGTTTATTTTATTTAGTGGATTAAATAAAATAAAACTAACTTTTGCATCTTAATAGTAGTTTGTTTTCCTGTTACTTATTTGCAGTACGATAAATGTTAGGAGCGTAAATATACACTCCCGATGTTTTGTTGCTCTTTTTTTTGTAAACATTTACGTTTTTTTTGCAAATTATTATATATTTTTTAAAAGAGTCTTGAGTTCCTAAGACGTCAACAACTAGCCGACATCGACTATTTTCATGTTAATGTCGACTTTAAAAAATATGTAGTCGTCCAAGCCCTAGTCTGGTGATGTGCAGATGTTCATGACGTTATGGACGGGACAAGAGAAAGTTTATGGATGGAGACTGTAACATAAAACGTCCGCCTTCGATGGGCGTTAAAAAATGAAACGCAGGAGCGTCAGAACTCACTTGGGCTGTACGGAGGGCAGGATGGGTTCAGGGAGCTTCTTGGCGACTTGTTTGTCAGGGTAACACCCCACCACAGAGATGGCCTGGCCCACCATGTCAGAAAGGCCTCGGCGCTTGACGAGATGGTCCTTAGCAGCCGATTCTGGCTCCATCTGTTCCTCTTTGGCTGCTTCGTCCTCCCTGGCTTTACACTGCTCCAGACCTAAAAGAGAAAAAAGTAAAATCGTGTTTTCAGGTTTTGGAAATAAATAATAAAAACTTCACTTTATTGTTTGAACACATTTATTGGAACAAACAAAATGCAGAAACAGAAAGAAAGTCACATTTAATGAGTTCACTCATAAAGACAAAGTGCTGAAAGGATTATTTTATGTTCTTAATAATGGTTTTTGTTCACTTTTATTTTATTTTAGCAGTGTTACTTTAAGAAAACCTTTGAGCAAAACTGTTGTTGACACTTTAAAACATTGATACTGACAAAAAAAAAAATCTGTGCTTTTTAAAAATAAGTTACATGAAACAATCACAGCTATTTCTGTATATTATTAATTTTGCATATATGAATAAATTAATTTAACAAATCAGACTTTTTAAGCTGCAACAATCTTAAAAAAAAACTAAAAAATAAATCCAGGATTTTTAAGGCTTGAAGTTTGAGTTGCTGTGGCGCGTGTTTCTGTCGCTCACCTGGCCCGATTCCAGCGGCGGTCATCTGCGTCGCCATCAGCCGAGCCAGATGTTTGATCTGAGCGTCGGTGCCAGCCGACTCCACGGGCGTGTACGTGGCCTGGAAGGAGGCCGGCATGATGTCGGGCAGGTACACCATGCTGATCAGCACCTGGTGGAGGAGAGACGCAGTGAGATGATCGGAGGAGAAAAAAACACGCTGCTGCAGCGGCGCTCACCATGTTGGCCACGTTCTCAGGGTTCAACAGAGGGCGGAGGAACTCGGCGGTGAGGTCGATGGCGGACTGAGCGACCGGAACAACAGCCGGTGTTGGAGCTGCAAGGGGGGCCGGCTCCTCTTTGTCCTCATCATCCTCGAGAGCCGGCTCTGAAAGCAGACGAACCTCAGAACCACTCACGACCCGGTGAAACGGCTCAAAAACAGAAAATAAATCCGGACTCTGCAGCGACGACTCACCGATCTTGACCTTCTTCCCTTCGGCATATTGCTCGTAGCGGGGTCTCTTGCGCTGCTCCCGCGGCGCGGGTGTGTGGCGGGTTATTTCGCTCTGAGGCATTCCCAGATCCAGCAGCAGGGTGCTGATCTGACCCTGGAACTCCAGGCTGCAGGGGTGCTTGAGAACCGCCAACAAGTGCAGCTTCAGGTTCTTCCGAACGCTGCTGACCTGAGACTTGGCCAGAGTCGGGGGAAGGTTGGCTAAAAACAACAACAACCCGAGAAACATCCATTACAACGTAAGATACAAAACGTTGACATTTGATGCAATAACTGTCGAAGAAGAGAAACTGTGGAATCAAGAAGAGTTGGCAAAATCCAAATCGAGTCTAGGAGGAAATTTTTTTTAGCTTTATCCTCATTTTGTCTTCACCGTACGAACAAAAGTCACATTTCCTGCCTGATCCGCACATTTTGATTCATCTTTTCTTTTCACACAGGTTTTGCAGAAGGAGCAGCAAAAAAAAAAAGAGAGCGATTCTTATTTGCCGACACCACGTGACCTCATCCCTCCAAGAAGTTGTGATCGCAGCCTTTACTAGAAACTCGGTCGCAGTTTTGATCGATCGCGTTCGGCCCCGAGCTCAAACTCTGCAACATGAAAACAAGTCCGACCCTCGAAGATCAGATTCACCATCAAATATTACAAATAAAATCTGCCTGAGTCAGTCTTCTGACGTACGGAAAGAAACCAGAAAAGTTAAAGATGTGTGTTTATGTAAAATGTTGGAGCGTAATGATAAACTTGGACACGTGTATTTGTAGGATGTTCTGTAACGTGATCAGTTTTATTGTAATAGGTGAGTTATAAATATGTTTTAAGCAGAAATATTCACTTAAATACAAAAGAAAAACATCTGCCAGCCACAGCTGCAGAGAAAACTTTTTTTTTTTTTTAAAGCTGACAGTATTTTATAACTTTGTGCAACAGTTTTTTTGTTTTGTTTGATGAGAACTAAATATATTTTATTTAGAATTTGGTAAAAGTCACTTCCTCTCTCAGTCCCAGGTTTTCACAGCTTTTTAACTTTTATTAAAACAAAATTTCAACAGTTTATTTCATGTTTTTATTAATATTTGAAATTTTAACATGGTTTTTGTTGGGACTTTAATAAAATATTTGGTCTTATTTACAGTTACCTGCAGATGCTTTTGAAAATTGATCTGTTGGTTTTGCCAAATTTAAAAAAAAAAAAAGCAAAGCTCCAAAAAAACTACTGACAACAACTCTTTGGACCTTTTAATAAAAGTCATCTAAATCCAGGAGGGACTGGTTTTCTTTGGTCTGTTCTGAGTTTAGGAGCCTTTTTCTGCCTGAATTGTTTGTTCCATGGAGTCAAGCTAACAAAAATAAACAATTCTTCTTAAAATATTCAGCTACGACTGAAACGGAGTGAAAAAGCAGCTGAAATGGAAAGAGAAGTCTTTAAACAATTAAAGAAAGTCTAAAACTCTCACCGTGCAGTGTCTCGTATGCTTGCACCACCTCGGACATGAACATGGGCCTCTGGCGGGCAATGGTGGCCAGGGAACCCAGCGCCGTGGTCAGGTTGATGCTGGAAATCGCCGGATGGACCATGAACTTCAGCAGCTTCTCCAGAGCACTCTTCCCTTCCTCACATAAAGTTCCTGTGATTTTCACAACAAAAAATACGAGCGTTATTTTTTAAAAAGGCTTTAAACGACGTCTTTCCTCTCAGCAGGACGAACTTGATACCGTAGCGAATGTAGGAGTGATCTTTGGGAACTTTGTCCAGGCTGATGTCTCCTTCCTGTCGTTTGGGGACGTTAGACTCGGGCGTCCGCGGCGACAGAGTTATGATCAACGATTCCGTAAACTTGATGGCGTGAGTGCGAACGCCGTCGTTCTCGGAGTCGAGCTGGGTCAAAACGTCCTCCTTCATCTGCGTGATCAAATGCCAGCATGCCTCCTGCATCTCTGATATGGTTTTGGACTGAACCAACCACTGAGCGAAGACGGAAGACATCAGATTATCTATAGAACAACGTCCGAGGTCGGTCAATCTGAGAACAAGGCTGCGGCTACCTGCAGCGTGATCTTATACATCTGCGTGAGGGTGAGGATGGCCTTCTTCACCACATTTACGCTGTCATCCTTCAGCAACAAGTTGAGGTTGGCGATCAGTTGGAGCAGGAGCTCGTTGTCTCGTTTACTGAACGAGACAGAAACAAGAAGGTGGCACAGATGGCTCCCGCACCGAGGCGAAACGTTCAGACGTTTGTGAAACTCACCACGCCTCCTCGATGAATCCGATGACGAACTTTCTCACGTCGATGGACTTGTCTGTCTGAAACGCAATCATTTCCTGCAGGATAAACAAACAAACAAACAAAAAAAAAAAAACAGGAAAAGAGAAGTAAAAATCTGGTTTAATGGTTTTAAAACCTGAGCAAAAATGAAGACATCAGCAAAAAAACTGACCCTTTTAAATGCAAGATATTTATTAAAAATACATTAAATAAAGAAAATGTGCTGAAAATTATTCCTAAATTAAACTAATTCTTTGAAGGAATGAGTAACTTTTAAAACTACAGACGATAATGCAGCTGGAGAGGGGAAGAAAAGGGATTTTAGTGCAAATATAACTGAAATCTCAACATGTCTTCTGACGTTTTTAAGAAAATTTGAGGGAAGCCGACCAGCAGACAGACCGGATCTGAACGTGTTAAAGGAACAAAACCAAACAAGAGAAGCAATCGTTAAACAAGTGCATATCACCTGCTGCAATGCATGCTAAAGTTTGAAACAAAGACCCGTTAGTGCTCAGAATACGTGTTGGGAATGACTCTCAGCTGCTGCTACTCCTCCTCAGTCCTGATCCAAACCTCATGGACACAGCCGAGGGTTGTTTAAGTATCTAGCTAGCGCCAAAATGTAGCTAAATGTCTGTAAAACTGACCGAGTCAGAGCCAGTTCTATGTTGGCTAAGGCAGATTAGCTGTAGCGGCCATCTTTAATGAAATTGACTCTAAAAGTGAATCACTTGTAGATGTATAGTTTTATTAAACTCCATCCAGTGGTTTATGAGATATTTTCAGCATCAGGTGATAATAAATGAATAAAGCAACTTCTTGTCAGGAAAAAAATTAAACGGCTCTGAAATAAATTCTGCTCCAAAACAAGGTGTCCAAATCAACAAGAGATGGTTTGGAGAAGTTGGACTTATTTGAGCCTCAGATGTGGAGTTTGTTTTGCTTTTCACTGAAGTATAACTATAATTATTTATCTTATTAAATAACTAAATATAAAACGCAGTGTTCAGTTTTGGTCGTAGAGGGCCACTACCCTGGATGTTTTGGACGTTTCTCTGCTTTGACTCGCCTAACGTGAATGAATGAGTGATTAAAAGGCTTCTGTAGAACTTTAAGACCTGCTGAAGGAAAACAACTAAAGCAGGGAGGACGGGTGCCCTCCAGGACCACAACTGAACTCCACTGATCTAACGGAACGGTGTCTACTAGCAGTTTTATTCCACCAACTGTCTGTGCGTTAACTTACATCCAAGAAGTTGTCGAGAAGAGACGGATCCTTGTTGATGATGAGCTCCTGGACCTGAAATACATTTACAGAATGATCCCAATTAACTTTTAGTTTAAAGGATTTTAATCAGTGAATGAGATTCTAGTTTGCTGAAACACAAAAAATGGAGGAGGTACTGGTTTTACTGAAATGATGAGGAATTTATTTTAGTGTTTTACTTGGTAGAGTGACCCTGTTTCTAACAGAACAAACAACAAACCTGTTTGAGCACGTTCAGTTTTTCATCTGAGGGCATCAGAGCGGCCTGATTCAGAAGCTCCACCACCTGAAAGAGGAATGAAAACTCGTAATCTCGTTCAGAGGTTTATTTCACTCACAATGCAGCCAGGTGCTAATTAACCCTCAGAACCAAGGCAACATTGTTAAAAAGACGGTTTGTCCATTTTCACAATCAGACTCAACGCTCTGAATAAACTTTCTGTGACGTGTTTTGGTCAAAATTCAATTGAGATAGGACAGCAGCTCAATTTTTACACAGCAGCTGGTTTTAGAGGCTTCAAACTGAACTCAGCACCACTACACAAGCTTAACCCTTGATCTGGGACACAAATTTCATTCAATAATTTTGCAGTTATCCCTGTGAATTAAAGCACATGTAACCCTTACATAACTGTTTACACTAACAAACCAGTTTAACAGCGTTTTCTACATCTAAACTTATATTTTCAAGCTCATTTTACAAGCAAAAGCAACCAAAGTCTCAGGTACTCCATTAGACTGGTTCAAATCTTATCTCTCTGACCGCACTAAATTCATTCAGCTTAAATCCTTTCGTTCCCAGTCTTCCCCCGTCTCCACGGGTGTCCCCCAAGGCTCTGTCCTCGGACCCCTCCTCTTCATCATTTACCTCCTTCCTCTAGGTCACATCTTCTGCAAATTTGGTGTCCATTTCCACTGTTATGCTGATGACACACAGCTCTACTTGTCAACAAAACCAAACTCCACCCACCCACCCTCCATCCTCACCGACTGTCTCATTGAACTAAATCATTGGTTTTCTAACAATTTCCTTCAACTAAACAGTAATAAAACAGAAATCATTCTTGTCTGTACAAAAAACTCTATTTCAAAATCAGAACATCTTCTCATCCCCCTTAACAACTCTCTGCTATCCCCCTCGCCTCAGGTCAAGACTCTTGGTGTCATCCTCGACACCACTCGCTCCTTCACTTCACACATCAACAATGTTACTCGTCTGCCTATTTCCATCTCAGAAATATTAACCATCTCCGCCCTTCTCTCACACCCCGCTCCACAGCCATCCTTGTGCACAGTCTTGTGACTTCTCAGATTGACTACTGCAACTCCCCTCTTTAAGGCCTCCCCAACAAATCTCTTCAGAAGCTGCAATTGGTCCAGAACTCAGCTGCCCATGTCATCACTCAAACCTCCTCCTATAACCACATCACTCCAGTCCTGCAGCAGCTCCACTGGCTCTCGGTTAAATCACGCATCGTCTTCAAAGTTATTCTTCTCCCTTTCAAAGCTTGCCCCTCCGTACCTATCTGACCTCCTACACATCTCCATCCCCTCTCGCTCTCTCAGATCCTCCTCTACAATACACCTCCATGTACCCTCTGCCCGGCTCTCCACCATGGGGAGCAGGGCCTTCACCTGCTCTGCTCCTCATCTCTGGAACTCTCTACCCCCCGACTTAAGAAACACCACCTCTCTTTCTATATTCAAGACTGCTCTGAAAACACATCTCTTTAGACTCGCTTATCCTTAACTTTGCTGTATGTATTTTATATTTCAATTTATTCCTGTTGATCTTTGCACTGTGCTTGTTTGTTTTTTCACAATCTTTCTGATACGTTTCTTGCTGTAAAGTGTCCTTGGGTGTCCTGAAAGGTGCTTTTTAAATAAAATGATGATTATTATTAAAAAATCACAACATAAGCGTTATTTATGATAAAACTAAAAAAAGAAAATACTTAACTGCTTCCAGTGTTTTGGTTTTTATTCCATGTAAATTCCAAAATGCAAGGTCTAAACTATCAAGAGGACTTTCATTCATTCATTTGGGATTTATTTTTTGTAATAAATAAACAAATAAATATACCTCAAAGTAAATTGTTTTTTGTACTCAACTATATCTCTTCAAATACCAAATTATTATTTTAATAAAACAAAACAGCTGAATGAAAATTTTCTGCATTGTTTGTTGATTTCTGATTTTTTTGTTATAAAGGGAGTAAATCTTTTAAAAAACAGTTTTAATATAAATTTACCTTTTCACTGGTGGTCATATTCACGCCGCTGGGAGTTTCCTTCTGCTTTGAAGAAACCTCCATCATGTGGCTGTTTTATTTACTGTCCGAACAGGAGCACGATGTTAAAATAAATCCAGACTTCTGTGAAAATAAAGTCAACTAGCCATACTCGTCAACTAGCATTAGCTAGTAGCTAGCCGTGATGCTTACCCCAAAAAGCGGCTTTACTTTAATTATTATCATTTAACAACAACATACTACTTAAAGGACTATGTACTGTTGCGTCTTGATAAGAAAGATTATGTTCCGAGTCACAAACGGGTTTATTTGAAAGACTGAAAACTACTCAATAAGAACAAAACCTCCATTAGCGCTGAAATCACGAAGCTGCCATTTTTTCCTTCTTCTTCTTCTTCTCTTGCCGCAGAGCATCTTGTACAGCTGTAGCGCCACCTACAGGAACTAATGTGAACATAAGCCTCCCAAGAAAATTTAACAAAAAATAAACGTGCACTTAAGTTCATGTTCAGTAATCCAGGACAATGTTCAGTCAGGTCATCTGGACGGTTTCTTTTTTGTGCTAAGAGGTTTCGTCCGTCATCCAACGGACTTCGTCATTTCTGAGGAACAACCAAACGAAACTGATTCTCCACCAACAAAATACTCCAAAGTGGAAAAAAACAGTTAGCACCAACGTAACTAGGTTTTTTTTCCACATTGTGATGTGATAGATGCACATGGGCACCAGTGACCCCCGTGACCCAAAAAGGAAGAAGCGGGTAAAGGTAATGGATGGATTGATACTATTTTGGACTTCGTCTCCCAGAATCCTTTGCGCTTTAAGTGATGTCACCTGACAGCTATGAAGCGGGGAGGTTAAGCTAATGTTTACAACCATTAAACTAGCAACAATTTCCTTGTGACAACAGTGATTTCGTCCGTATCGGGGCTTAACATGAAGTAGCAAATACATAATGTAAATAAATAAATGACCACTTTATACATTCAGGTAAGAAAACGTTTTATTTTTTTCCCATTTTTAACCTCGACGCTTGATCGAACTTGTTAGCTCTTAGCTAGCTAGTTACTCTGTTTACATTAGCTGAACAAACGATGTGGAGCTGCAACCAAAATAGCACGGTTCAACTAAAGCTACCCTTAATTTCAGACATTTTTATTTTTATTTACTCTACTGACCTTGAGCTAATGTAACATCAGTAAAATTTTAAAGTGTTCAGTTGTGCAAAATAACAGTTTATTCTTGAACTGTCTTTTAACTTGATTGTTTTAAATTGTCTGTATTTTTTTTTTTGTACTCTTGTGTTTGAATGTTTCCTCAGCGTCCAAATGGAGTGGGTGTTCATCATGAACCGGGTGAGCTCTCAGGGCAGCTCTGCAGCTCAGCGAAGGCGGATGGCCCTGGGGGTGGTGGTTCTTCTGCTGGTGGATGTCATCTGGGTTGCCTCCTCTGAGCTGACCTCGGTAAGGATTCTCACCACAGTTTTTCCATTCCTGCAGAGATTTAAGGAACACAAATGTTTTGGAGACATTTGGAGCAGTCCGTTGTGATGTTTGGTTTTGAAGCACTGTCAGAAAGTTTTTTTAACCTCTCGCACTTGTTTTAGGTTTCAGCGTTGGATTGAAATGGATTACTTTCACATTTTCCCTCTTATCAGTCCAACCAGCATTGCTGGTTTTAGTCAAGACATCAAACCAGGTTGTGGGGTTGAGAGCTCTGACTGCGGGACAGACTGTTTTAAAGCACAAATCTACATTTTCCAAAGCACACAAGCCTCAAGCTCAAACAAAAATAGGTGTGAACCATAAACATCCTCCTCTCAGAGGAGATCCAAATAAAAAAAGCAGTGTTTAGACAATCAATAATGCTTTTATTGGAGGATGTCATTGCCTGCAGTCAATCCTAAAAATAAAAAGTCAGCCTGAGCAAGCACAAAAAAGACAGTGGAAAGGAAAAACTCTATTTTAACAGGAAGAAACCTCCAGCAGAACCAGGCTCTGAACGAGTGGCTATCTGCTTCGACCGGCTGGGGTTTGAGAGGACAGAATGACAGGTCCAGCTGTGTACTTTCTATTGGAGGAAAGACAAAAAAAAAACACGTTGCGGATAAAAATAATTACAAATACAAACGGGTAGCATGGAAGCAAGTAAAGACAGCAGCAAAGTGGGGAAATGTGATCATTTTTTTCCTCCAGCCTATAGCAGCATAACTAAGGGATAGCTCAGGAAACTCAAGCGAACCCTAACTATAGGATTTATCAAAGACAGATGCATAAATTCTGAAGTGAAAGTGTTCAGGGTATGATCTCAAAACGACAACAATCTGATGTTTATCGTCACCAAAACACAAGAAAGACTTCTTTTAAACTTGTTGCTTTGATTTAGAAAAATTCCCAATAGGCGTTTTATAGAAAGTCAGGAAAATGTCTGCGCTGCGAGGTTTCTGCAACCTGTTTGAGCTTGGAAGTTTCTGTTGAGTAGAACGAAGTGACCTTTAAGAAGACTGGACGGATATTTTTTTTCTGCTCAGGGTTTTCAAATTGTGGAAAATTAGTTTCCTACAGTTGTAAAACACAAACAACAACCTTTTATCGTTGTTTTATCTGTGTTCAATAAAAACTTGGAAGAATAGTCAGAGTAGTTTTTCTTTTTTGTTTCTCTGTTTGTTGCAATTGTTGTAGGGATGCTGATATAAACATTTTCTGTTGTGGTAAATACTTCTACTAGAATCTGAGTACTCAATAAGGACTCTAAATATTGAAGTTTGTACCTCTTTTTGTTCTACATGCATAGAGAAATGTGAAAACATTTTGAAGATTGCTCTCCTTGTTGATGAAGATCCAAGGGATAAAAACAGGAATCTGTTTTGTTGAAGTTTTTTAATTTTGTGCTTCACGGCACGTGACGAGAACATTCAGTGTTGTAGGAATGCGCTGATATGATAAAAAAAGAACTTCTCAGACAACTTCACTGAAGAACACTGAGTTGGAACAGGTTTAAATTAGAGATAAAACTTGTTAAACTCTATTTTCTAACAACCCAAATATATCATAATAAAATGAAGATTCTGGCCATGTATTTCTTCTTCTTCTGCAGTACATCTTCAGGCGTCAGGAGTACAACAAGCCCTTTTTCAGCACGTTCACCAAGACCTCCATGTTCGTCTTGTATCTGCTGGGGTTCCTACTGTGGCGGCCCTGGAGGCAGCGGTGCACTGGCACTTTGAAACGCCGCCACTCTGCGTTCGTAAGTAAAACACTGACCCGCGGGGTTTGACCACAACATTATCATTTACTATACAATTTAAAAGCAAATCGATTTTAAAAAATGCAGCAAAAGACCAGCTAAAATGAGCAAAAAGCTAGTTAAAAGCTTAATGTAGCAAAGGTCTTGCTAAAACTACGTAAATTTGAACTAAAAGCAGCAAAAGGCTAGCCAAAAGCTATCGTAGGAAAAGGGTACTATAACAAAATGTTGCAAAAAGCAAGCTGAAAATAGCAAAAGGCTGGCTAAAAGCTAAAGTGGCAAGATAGCAGCTATAAGCTATAATAGCAAAAGTCTAGCTAAAAGCCAAAAGTTGAGAAACACTTGCTAAATGTAGCTTATGCCTAGCTATAAGCTCAAAGTAGTAAAAGGCTGCCTAGAAGCTAAAAGTAACAAAAGACCAGCTAAAACCTAAAAAAAAAATCTCTGAAAAGTAAAAGTAGCAAAAGGCTAGCTAAAGGTATACAAATCTAGCTGGAAGCTAAAAGCAAATGTTGGTTAAAAGGTATAGCTAAAGACTAGCCAAAAGTAGCAGAATGGCAGCTAAAAATCAAAAGTAGCAAAAGGAAGAAAAAATCAGCAGCTGAATCAAACTGAAACGAGAACAAAGTTTCTCAAAGTATTGAAGAGATCTCAGTGATTTTATGGAAACAATGTTTGTGAGTAAAGTTAAATATTTTGAAAAGTATAAAGGTTACAAAAATAAAAGTCCCAGAACCCATTTCACCTGAATCAGAGGGAACCTTCCACCCCTTTTTCAAACAATTGTTGGAACAACCAGGTCGTTTGGACCGTTTCAGCCTTATTTCCTTAAAGCTGAAATCAATATGTGTTAACCTGAACTCGACGAACAGAAGCTGAACGTGTTTCTCTAAACTGATGTTTTTATCCTGCAGTTTGCTGATGCTGAAGCTTACTTTGCACCCTGCACCAATGACAACACTGTGAACAACTCTTTGGTGCGTAGTTTTAACTGCACAAGGGAAAAAAAAGTCTTTAATTAAAAAGTTAAAATGTTAAAAACTGCCCCGGAGCCGACGGTTTGTTGTGTTTGTGCAGAGCGAACCTCTGTATGTCCCGGTGAAGTTCCAGGACGTACCGACCGATTCCTCTGAAGGTTTCAGTGGAGAGTGTGAGTTATGTGAGTATGAAGCTAAATGTTGGTTTTATAAGCAGCTAAAGCAGCATTCTCAAGAACACTGTAAAGTAGAGTGGACCAAGATTAGTCCACAGCCACAGGTAAACCACCAGTGAGAGTTCCTGCTGCTGAAGGACGTTCTTCAAGCAGCGGAATGACGTTTCTGTACTGGCACTTTTTTAAGTTTAGTTTTATACAGTGTAAAAGTCTTGTGAGGTTTTATTTTTTTAGTTTTAAAATCGAAACATGGCCAGATAACATTTATTTTCTGTTTTCTGAAAATTGTTTTTTTTTAATCTATCCATAAAAATCAACAAATTGAGTAATTTACCAGCAGAGGGCAGCGCTCATCAATAAAAGTACAGTAAAATAATTACTGGTATATCCGTGAATCTTGTCAAAATAAACAAGTAAATAATTGACTTGGCTCTGTTTAATTGACTAATTTAAATGTTATTTTAATATTTAAGCCACAGTTTATGGCTGCGCTGTAAGATTAGTTGATTTTAGGGTTTATATTTTAATAATTTGAATTGTTTTTTTAACCCTTTATCATCTTTTTAGGGAAATTCAGCCACACACTTATTTTTGTTCATGTTTTTTAAAATTAATTTATTTTGCTGCATTAAGTAAACCTGAGTTTTTTTTATCTGACAGAGCCTAAAAATCTTTCACTCTTTTAATTTTGTCTGATGTTTTCAGATGCTCTCATAACCTCACAGTAACTTTACTTCACACTCGTATTCCTGAGGGGAGAAATCGTCCTCATTAAAATACACTGAAACACAACTTTTAATCCAGATTTATCAGATAAAATAATGCATTCCTCTCTGTTATATTCATCTTCATTACTAAACTTTTTTATATTAGCTTACTGGGTGGTCTGCTTTTATATTTAAGAGCCTATGAAAAAAATTACCGAGACAAAAGTTCAGCTAGAAGAGCGATGTTTTTTAGAATCGCTTTGATTCCCGTAGAGTCCCGCCTCTCGTCTCGTCCAACAAAATTGTTTTAGTTTGGGTGTAAAGAGCAAAAACCCACTTGTAACGTGCACAGGTGAACATTTAGTACTAAAGAGCTGCTCCACATGCATGCAGGCTGCAGCATCGGCCGTTACACGGCTGACAGCGGCTGACTCCCGTTAGTTTCCCTCAAAGCAGGACGTCGTTAGCGAGCGCACCGTGCTGCAGCAGCTCGCTCGTATATCTGGGTCAGTACAAGCAAAAAACTATTTAGAAACTAGCATTTCTACCACGAGCAGACATAAAAAAAATAAAGAAAATAGTAATAAAACCAAAAATGATAAAAAAAAAAAAAAAAAAAAGAAAACCTCCATGTCCGAAGACTGTGAGAGTAGGTTTGTCTGAAAACAAGGCCTCATTTTAAGCATTTTTGAACCTAAAGGGTCGTCACAAAACTCAAGAAAAATCATTTTGGGGGAAAATGCCTTTAGCCTTTTTTTTTCCTGCCGATAAATTGTTGTTAAAAAAAAAAGCTAAAGACCCTTAAAGAGGGTCTGCAGCTCCTCACGCTGAAGAAGTCTTTTGGATAAAAGACAAAGAAGAATCCATCCAGAGGCCCTGACTCAACCTGGTTAGATTTATCAACCTGGATTACTGAGCAGCATCAGGACACCCCAAAAGAGTTAAAATAAAATAAAAAATCATTTAAATTTGATAGACAGCATTTTATGAAGAAAAAAAAGTGTTTTGAAGCTGTGAAGTAAGGGGGTCAATGTTAAATGCTTATAGTGTTTCTGCACATTATATGCTCTGTTTTCTGGGGGGCGGGGGTTCAGCTTCCAAGAAGCAGCGGGTCCGTTTCAGTAACATCATGGAGGTCCGTCAGCTGCCCTCCGCTCAGGCCCTCGAGGCCAAACTGTCCCGGATGTCGTACCCCGCCGCCAAGGACCACGAGGCCATGCTGCGCACCGTGGGGAAGCTGACCATCACCGACGTGGCCAAAATCAGCTTCTTCTTCTGCTTCGTGGTGAGTAAAAAGAAGCATGAACCACGCGGCCGAACAAAACGCCACACAACTTTCTGTTTGTCTCGCAGTGGTTCCTGGCTAACCTGTCCTACCAGGAGGCCCTGTCCGACACGCAGGTCGCCATCGTCAACATCCTGTCGTCCACTTCAGGTGAGCCTCTCCTCAGCTGTAGTCGTGGTTTGGGTAGAGCTGGGCGATATATCGAATATACTCCATGTATCAAGATTTTTTTCAATTTAAGGTGGTTAAAATGGCTCTATCGCAACCATCACAAGTAACTTGAAAATACGTGTAGTTCTTTTCCTCCCTTCTGCGCCTCCAACTTCACAAAGCCCCTCCTTCCTTATTACCCCTCACCCGCCCGCACTACCCCAGCTTCCTGCCTCTCCAGGTGAGGGGGAGTTTAACACAACAGGAGATATCAAGAGCAGCTTAGCTGCTGAACAGAAAGAAAAACAATGGCTTTTATTTGATTTAAACTGTCAGATGAGCAGCAGAAAAATGTTTTCTATAGACGATGCCGAAAACAAGTCCTGACAAAAGGTCAGAACTACAAATCTTTTTCACCATTTAAAACAGCGCTATAAGTTATAAGCTGCAGCTCCGACTGTGTTTTCAGCCTCCTTCCCTGAAACAGACCACGAGTCAAAACTCATTTAGCCGTGCTGTGCCTTATGAGAGGAACAGTGTGAGGTGATGTTACATTAATAAATCAGCAGCTTATCATATCGCTAAAGATACGGTCCCAGTTTCAACTGTGGAACAAGATGGCTAAAGTTAGCCGTCTTGTTAGCCGCTAAGGACAGTGTCTTTAGCGATATGATAAGCTGCTGCTTTATCAATGCCATGCTGCCTCTCACTGTAAGACTTGAACATCTGTGTAGTTCTCCTTTTTCTTTCCGTCCACCTTCACACAGCCCCTCCTTCTTCCTCACGTGTTGCTTCTCACACGCTTACTAACGTTGTGAAAGTGGCGCAGCTGAAGAGGATTATTATTTAATATATGTGCGTTAAATAGTTAATTTTATTAGACATTTAGTACAGTTACAGCTGTTTCTTAATAAATGTGCCTGTGTGACAATTGGGACAAAGCTTTGACTCAGAAATATATTTTTGTTATTACTTTATGTAAAGAAAAAATAATTATTAATTCAACCTTTATTTATATAGTTTAGTCTCACTGAGCCTCGGGGACGCATTTACAAGTGAGACCTGTTTTTAACAAAGAGTGATGACAACAGTAGACTATCATAAAAGAAAGTATATTAATTGAAAAAATAAATTAAGGAAATTATATTAAAAAAACAAAGCAAAACAGCTACATTATAAAGCGATGTAAAATACTAAAAACAGGAACATGTCTGCATTGTGCCATGAACTTGGCAGATGTTTGAATATCGAGATATATTTTGTATATCGCAATTCATCTTAAAAATATCGAGATATTAATTTTGGTCCATATCGCCCAGCCCTAGGTTTGGGTTTAATAAACCTCCCCGCTTTTCTTCTTCAGGCCTCTTCACGCTCATCTTGGCGGCCATCTTTCCCAGCAGCAGCAGCGACCGCTTCACCCTGTCCAAACTGTTAGCCGTGGCTCTGAGGTGAGAGGGTTCAGGTTCTGTCAGCGTCCTTAAAAACTGACGCCGCGTGACGTTTTGTCATGTTTTCTGCAGCATAGGCGGCGTCTCCCTCGTGAGTCTGTCCAGCGTGGACAGCCCCGACGACAAAGGTGTGATAGGTAAACGCGGACGCCATTTTTTTTTCTGAATTTAAATGTCTTCCTTTTAAAAATGTCAAGTTTTAAATGATCGAGACGCTCCTGTAGGTTCTCTATGGTCGCTGATCGGGGCGGTGCTGTATGCCGTCTACATCGTGATGATCAAGAGACGAGTGGACCGCGAGGACAAACTGGACATCCCCATGTTTTTTGGTGAGGAATCACTCGGCTAAAGACGGAGATATCTGTAACTTTTATACTTTTCAAAAAGTATACAACATCATTCATAAACATTTTTCCATGGAGACACGTGAAGATCTTTTCACTTCGTTGATAAAATTTGTTCTTATAATCTGCTTCAGCTGCTGGCTCTGATTTTGTCCTATTTAGCTATTTTTAGTTTTTAGCTACCATTCTGCTACTTTTAGCTAGTCTTTTGCTATATTTTTGTCTTTTAGTCAGCATTTTGTTACCCTTGGCTTCAAATTAAATATATGGTGTTTTTTTAGCTAGTATTTTATTACTTTTAGCTAACCTTTTGCTACTTTTGACTAACGTTTTTGCTACATTTTTACATAGAGATACCCTTTTGCTGTATTAATCTTCTAGCTACTGTTTTGTTAGTTTTAGGTTTTAGCTTGTCTTTTGATTCTTTTTGTTACTCTTTTGATCAATTACCAGTCAATTTTAGCTACCATTTTGCCACTTTAGCTTCTATCCAGCCTTTTGCTACATTTAGTTTTTGGCTAGCCTTTTGCTACTTTTAGTTTTTGGCTAGCCTTTTGCTACTTTTGGCTTTTAACTCCAGTTTTGCCACTTTAGCATTTAGCTAACCTTTTGCTCTTATTGGCTTTTACCTGCTTTATGCTGCTTTTGGCTTTTAGCTAGAATGTACCGGTAGCTATTTTTGCTATAAGCTAGATTGTTGCTACTTTTTGTTTTAGTAACCCTTTTTCTACATTAGGTTTTAGCTACTTTTTTGCTACTTTTAGCTAGAATTCACCAACTTTTGGCTTTTAACTAGACTTTTACTTCTTTAGCTTTTTGCTTGCCTTTACCCTTTTCCACTTTAGCTTTTAGCTAGCCTTTTGTTTTGTTTTTTTAACAAGCCAGTTGCTACTTTTGGCTTTTAGCTGTTGTTTAGCCACTTTGGCTTTTAGCTAGCCTTTTGCTCTTATTGTCTTTTACCTGCTATTTGCTACTTTTGGCTTTAAGCTAGACCTTAACATTTTTTTGTTTTAGTTACCACTTTTCTACTTTAGCTTTTAGCTACTTTTGAGTCTTTTTCATGAACTTTCAGCTCTCCTTCAACGTTCACCCAACTTTCTTTTTTGAAGCTGTTTCGATCCGTCTTCCTTCAGCTGTTTTGTTGAAACTCCGCCTCCTTTTTTGTGATTTGTGTCGGTCGGTTTTTGTTTTCAGGGTTTGTGGGTCTGTTCAACCTGCTGCTGCTCTGGCCCGGTTTCCTCCTGCTCCACTACACCGGCTTTGAGGCCTTCGAGCTTCCCAGCCAGCTGGTCTGGACCTACATCCTCATCAATGGGCTCATCGGGACGGTTCTGTCGGAGTTCCTCTGGCTGTGGTGGGCAGCTGAATAAAACACCAGCACTTTGGGTCATAAATCAGCTGAAGTTTGACGGTATTGATTAAACTTGATGAAAAAGTCTTGTTCTTTTCTTCCGTCAGGGGCTGCTTCCTCACATCGTCTCTCATTGGGACTCTGGCTCTGAGCCTCACCATCCCGCTCTCTATTTTGGCCGATATTTGTATGCAGAAGGTACGTTTCCTTCAGCGGTGAGCCCACAGGAAGTTTCAGTCAGCAACCAAAGTGTAGACGATGTTTTCATGTCGACGACAGTTAAAAGTTCCACGAATAACTCGCGTCGTTTCTCAACAGGTGCGCTTCTCGTGGTTATTCTTTGTCGGAGCCATTCCCGTCTTCCTCTCCTTCTTCATCGCCACGCTCTTGTGTCACTACAACAACTGGGACCCGGTTCTGGTCGGGCTGAGGAGACTTTACGCTTTCGTTTTCAGAAAACATAGAGTCCAGAGGTACGAACCGACGAAACGAGCCGCAGTCTTTTTCCTCAGAGTTATTTTTATACCTTAAAACCAGGTTTTAACGTCACTTCTTCGTGGTAAAAAATAAGAACATTCACGTTCCACCTCTGTAAGCTAGTCGTCACAGGTGTCTCAGACTCACCTGAATTCTGTCGCTGGTGTTTTCAGTCCGCAGGCACCTCTTTTCTGACGGAGAACCTCCAAGCCAAATGTCCAGTTTACAAAAAAACTATGATTATTTTAAAAACTTGTCCAAATGTGCTTTTTTCATTTGTAACCCAGTCTCTTACATTCAAGTACAACATATAATTTCAATAGTTCAGACGGAAGCTGACAGTACCCCACAGAAATGACTGTTTCTGTAAAATTTAATCACATACTGAAACCAAACTACAACTTTCATGTTAAAAATGATCAGTATAAATCTAAGTGGGATATTTAACCGTCTTTTTTTAGAGCAACTTCAATTTCTTTATGGGTTTTCAAATTTACAGGTTGTAACTAAATCTTGCAAATGTTCACGTGCTCAAACAAAACCCGCCTTGCAAGGCCTTCCTGAAGGCTCAGAGCTTTGTTTTGGTCCCACCCACTCTACATCAGCATCGTGATGGTTAATTTTTCTGTCAGTCATTAAACAAACTCCTCCTGCAGAGACTCAGACTGAACTCAGCCTTCTCTGCTGAAAGTGAAGTCCTAACCAATGAGCATTCCTTCTGTTTCTGCCTGGAGACACGTGAACATATTCTGACTGGATGACTAGATTGTCATGATTTAAAAACTGTTTCTTAATCAACTTAGGTAGTTTACAAAAAAATGATACAAATTTTATATATATATATATATATATATATATATATA